ATATAAATGTATTAGGGGTGTCACAGTATACGGGTATTGATGATAACTATAAAATTTAAAAAATGAATGATTGATACCATTTTAATGATACACATCTCCAACACATCCCCACTGCGACCTCGTCACATGTCCACGTTTGGTCATGGACTGTCAACATCCACATATGACGTCCAAGGTACCCTGGGTGTGTTGGTTGTTGACATTCTGGGACGCCGTGTCAACTTCAGCCTGTTGCATACATTGTCTGCTTTCAAAATACACTTCTGTTTTCACAGGAAATGTACAGTTTGCCTACAGTCTCTTTCAAAATAAAAGCACTGCGTCAGTACAACACCATGAATTTACCTTTGTTTACTTCAACAACAAACATACATGGTTGAATTTAGGGAAAAAAAACGGGTTGGCTTTACATTCACACAGGAAGTGGACACCTGCGTCCCGGGTGACAGGTGGTGTGTTCCACGTTTTATTTCCAAATCACTCTAGAAAGAAAGATTAGCATACCGTTAGTGTACAGTCTGATACCGTTACCATTGGAAAATGCCAGTTCCGGATCAGGTATCATGGGTGCCAGGCATAAGGTTGATACAAAGTTTGATTTCCCTGAGTAAAACACCACATTTGTGTTTAGAAGAATTTTAATATAATTCATACTGGATGAAAACACACATAGGCTATAGTGGGTTATAGCCACAGTGGCTTAAGAAGCTTCCAGAGGCCATTTGCTCTCTTCAGTCTCCAGGAGTTCATGACAGAATTGATGCCCCCCATATAAAATGGACTGTCCTAAATACCAAATTGAAGTTGCGTAGAAGACAGGTGATAGGTACGTAGCCAAACGTACCCACTAACAAGAGCCCAACATTGGCCAACACAGTTGCTACGTCAGAAAGGGGTGGATATGTTAACGCTAGCCGATAGCATGGAAGCTTTAATGCTCTAAATGTCCTAAGACGTCTAGATGTACTGGTTAATGGGGCATTTTCTGTTGTCTAAATGCGTCAAATGCACGTTAAGATGTTATATTTTTACCTGTTAAGACAAACAAATTTCAAATATATTAATACATATATCAAAATAGATGCTACGAGCCCTTCTGTGTTCCATAGCAGACAATCAGCTGTTGCTGCTGTTCAGAGCTGAAGGACTGTCTCCATCAGCCTCTCTACTTCTGCTCTCTCTGCCCGGTTAGCACGAGCTAACACAGCAGCGATGGCTAACATCCGGCACAGAGCCGTTTAACCGTCCCAACAATCTCACACCATCACTGAAACGGCTCGACTCTGTCGATGCCATATCGTAGGCAACTTGACTTGCTTGAGTTCTTTAGAGATGTTTTAACTCTCATCCAAGAGGCTTCTTCACATTTATTCCAGCAGTCATGAGAGTGAATATAAATACCGTAAAGTGTTCTTCGATGATGGCTTTAACATGTTCCTGTTTCGTCCCGTGGTAGGACACCGGCCACTCCCCTGCCACTGACTGTGTGGTGCGCCACCTGTTTCCCAGCCAGGTATTGTCCTCGTACTTATCCAGGACCTGAGACAAAACAAGTAGTCACAAACATTCAGATGTGTAACCACCACTGTCATTTTAACCACCACCAACAGTGATGTCATGGTGTATTGGAGTGCACCTGCACATCACTGCAAGAAGGCGAGAAGTTAAACCGCCAGCAGGCATCAAAAAGGCTGTGAAAAGAGAACTCCACTGATTTTACCCATCAAATTACATACGTTTTTGGTCGTGTAGAGTACTACATGTGATAAAAGTAGCATAAATCGATTGTTATACAGATTTTCTTCATTTTCTGGCTGGTTTTGTGAAGTTCAAGCTAAACGATGTGTCTGGGGCACGATGTGCATTAATGATACTCGTTACCTGGAGAGGTTGGAAGGAGACAGACCTTCCTCCCCCTGAAAAGTGTAGGAAATTGCAAAACCACTGTTCAGCCACTACATGGTGTGAGCTGCATGCTAGCTCTGACAGCTAGATGATGCTTCACAAAGGGGCGGGGCTTAGTGAAGGGTCAATTTACCTGCAGATGCTTTGGTTCAAAATGAACCAGTTGTTTTTAGCCAAAATGATTTATGGACAACGTGCAGCAGAGGAGTGAGGAGTCAGCAGTAAAGTATGGAATAAAACAGGTTAATAAAACAGGTTTTTTCAACAATTGTGAATCACCAACCACGAGAGGGCCTTGAGTATACAGTCATAAATGTGCACCTAAAATATTTGGCTGATTGGTCCAGTAGTGTGAAATTTATGATTATGCCTTTAAATATATAATCAGATCAGTTGGTCTCTGAGGCCAGATTATGTCATAGTTTGCACTCTGAATTGTAGAATACAGCAGCTTGATGGAGATTTAAAGCCAAACAAAACTGAAAGCATATTCACCTTGAGGGCAAAACGCTGCCAACCACATGGGCGTTCATACAGCTCGCCACCTCTGTAATATTTCTCTGTGTCTTTCAACTTGGAGAAATCGTAGTTAAACCGTGGATCCAAATGTTCCTTGGACCATGGGTAATTATTTGGTTCGAGGATAATCTGCCCAGCTTTTTTTGTCTTCACTGATGTCTTGCTGCAAGTCGACCCTGCAGATTGGCTCCACTTTAACTGTTCCTCCAGGACTCTGGAACCTGTAAAAGCTGAAGCAGAAGAAGAGTCACAATTTCAAAGCACGTCAGTGTTCTCTTTGTGACAATCCATCAGGGATAAGGAAAACTATTCAGCAACAGCTCAGGAGAAAAACAAGACTCCACAGCTACGATGGTGTCTCTGTGAGGCTGACAATCTTGTACATATTTTGCACAGAGGCAATCTTTGCCAATAGTCCTCGGAAGAGGTCCGTCTATAATTTTGCGCCCTACTTGAGCCATGCCCACCTCTATTTATTTTCACCCCTCTCTCCAGTTCTGCTGTATTAACACCTGGTTTAATATATTTTGCTTCCATCTCTCTGCCCTGCTCTACTCTACTTCAACGCTACTTAGCTCTCTCTCTACTCTACCAGTAGACTACCACATCCACCTGTTGCACAAAATGCACACGGTAGCGTGAAATTTTTTTGTATGCTTGTAAAGCACAGCCTGCTGGGATGTTTCTATGTATCTGCACCAGAAGGGCTCTTTAGTACATACTAAGTACATGTGTGCACAGTAATGAGCAGGTGAAATGTCTGTCTAGCTTACATATGAGGTGTCTCAAGATTTAGGAACATACAATTGTATTGAACATAATAAAAGTATAAAGTCACTTGACATGCTGCTGTTTTGTGCTATGACCTATTTAAGTGCTGGAAGTTGTTATTTACGTGACAACGCCTGAACGCAACACTGGCTCCGCTCCAACAGTGCCGTGTTTGTCTGTGCCTAACAGCAGTCTGTTGATGGTTATTTACACACTGTCCATAACAATAACTTTGTCAGGTAACAAAGAGAACAATGGTCAGAGTGTAAACAGACCTGTGATTTCCTGTAAGAGATTCACTTTCCCTGCAGAGATTAATATCAAAAGTGAAACAATCTACTTTCATTTTGAAAGGTTTAAATAATTGACACTATTAATGGCTGTGTAACCTGATCGTAGCAGTGAGCTGTTCTCTGTACCAACAGATAAAAATACTTCAGGCTGGGACGCAGTCAGATCAGAGGCTCTCATCAGAGCGCCTACATGAGCTTTTTGCTGTTTGCTTTTTTTCTTTTCTTTTTTTTTTTAGTATATTTTATTTTTTGAGGGACAATGCATTGTGGCCAACATCACTAACTGTGCCAGTGTCAGCCAAAATGCTCATTTTCAACTGTTGTCCACTGGCCAGATGTTAAAGGGATAGTGCACCCAAAAATGAAAATTCAGCCATTATCTACTCACCCATATGTCGAGGGAGGCTCAGGTGAAGTTTTAGAGTCCTCACAACACTTGCAGAGATCCAAGGGGAGAGGAGGTAGCAACACAACTCCACCTAATGGAGGCTGACGGCGCCCCAGATTCAAACGTCCAAAAACACATAACTGAAACCACAAAATATCTCCATACTGCTCGTCCGTAGTGATCCAAGTGTCCTGAAGCCCCGACATAAAAAGTTGTTTGATCACAGGCAGGAACTGTAAAAACAAAAGATTTTCAAATTTCCACCAGTCCTTGGACACATCGTGCGTGACAAACACTTGCCTACGAACGAAAAAGTCTAAAAAAAATCTGAGTTTAAAATTGTGATATTCCACCAAAATCACTTTATTCTACATCTCTTTTAAAATTAGCTAAAAAATAAACTGTTTGCGCAACAAGAGTGAAAAACTGAGGCTTTTTTTTGTCAAATCCAGTATTTATATAATCTGATATATAGTAGTATAGTATAATCTAATATATGGTGGGCACCAGTGGTGGACCTGCCAGTCCTGGTGTTCTCTGGTGAATGATGGAGCTGCATGGTGCTGGGCTGTGAGCACAGGTCCCACTAGAGGACGTGGGGCCCTCATGCCACCCTCATGGAGTCTGTTTCTGACAGTGTGGTCAGAAACATGCACACCAGTAGCCTGCTGGAGGTCATGTTGTAGGGCTCTGGCAGTGCTCCTCCTGTTCCTCCTCACACAAAGGGGCAGATACCGGTCCTGCTGCTGGGTTGATGCCCTTCTACGGCCCTGTCCAGCTCTCCTGGTGTGACAGCCGGTCTCCTGTGCCATCCTGGAGGAGCTGGACTACCTGTGCAACCTGATTGGGCTGCAGGTACGACCTCATGCTACCAGTAGTGCCAAGGACACTAGCAGAAGACCAGACTAGAGAAGAATCAGTCAGGAAGGATAAGGAGAGAGCAACTGTCTGTGGACACCACATGTAAAACCATTCCCTTTTTGGGGGTTGTCTTGCTTTTGCCTTTCCATTGCACCTGTTGTCACTTTGATTTGCACCAAAGCAGCTGAAACTGATTCACAATCACTTGTGCTTCCTAAACAGACAGATTGATATCACTGAAGTTTAACTGACTTCCTGTTAGACTGTGACCATTAAGTGTTCCCTTCATTTTTTAGTGGTGAACAAACCCTCACTGCTGGAAGCACCACTAACAACACTGTGGTCACCTCTTTCAGTGGAGGCAGAATACTCCGACTGATATCACAAGACCTGGACAAATAAACCCACACCTACCTGCCTGGACTGACACCACAAACAGTAACTGAGAGTTTATTTATGTTTTCATTTTGTGATCTTGTTTACCAGTACATGTGACCTTTGTTTGCATATCTTAATAATGCAGTGTTTACCTCTCACAAAATCAGCCACTGAGAGAAAGTCAGGATGTCTTGAAGCCACCAGGGCTGCAGCAGGGCTACGCGTCTTAGTCACTGTCTTAACTGTAATGTAAACTGCTGTGTAATAGTTTCACTTTCTCCATCACTTTCTGTTTTTCTGATGGGAGGATCTAAAACTGAGGCACTATAAATATGAGCCCAGTTCCACCCTTACATTCATCTGAAGAAACAAGCCAAGAAGCCAGACATCAACATCGAGATGATCGATACAGAAGTTGTGCTTGAAGCTTTGAACGCGCTCTGCAATGACGGAGTAGCTAGTGTTCATAGACAGAGAGCAGAGGATGGGTCACTGACAGCCGACACCTCTGGAGCAGCTGCCCAGCTGCAGGAGTCCATGCGAGAGCTGTCCATCCAGGACTTGATCCCTATCACCCTGTGTGGGCTTAGAACCAGGTAATTATTACCAAAGCCATGTTAACATAAGTATGATTTCTGTAAATGTTACAGAGGGTTTGAAACAGCAGTTGTTTTTCTATAAGGGACTGTTCTTTACTTATCAGAGGAGAAAGGTGGCTGGGGCGTGACTTTGTTCTTTCTTTTTCTGTTTTTGTTTGATCCTCTCCAGAACTACAGATATTTTTCCTTGAGTGATTTAGGGGAAAATGCATGATCCTCCCTCCACCATAAATTAGTTATTAGATTTTTTTTGTTTTTTGAAAACAGTCATACCTCAGCCACTCCCCTCCTGTGATATATAAAGAACAGTCCCTAAAGTCCTCATCAGTGAAACTAGTTTGGCACTTGAAAGCTGACAGACTGATCTCACCTGTTTACTACAAAGAGTATTGAAATCTTGACTTTAAATATTCTGACTTTATTTTAACGGTTTTTAATTTTGTTATGGAGACACTCCTTTATTGTCAAAATACTCAGACTTTTTCTCAAAATATTTTCATTTTGTTCACAAAATGTCTGTAAGAGTGCCCATAATGCTTATCATGCTAAACTAAGACAGTAAACATGGTAAACAGAAACATGTTAGCATTGTCAGCCTCACAGAGACACCATCGTAGCTGTGGAGTCTTGTTTTTCTCCTGAGCTGTTGCTGAATAGTTTTCCTTATCCCTGATGGATTGTCACAAAGAGAACACTGACGTGCTTTGAAATTGTGACTCTTCTTCTGCTTCAACTTTTACAGGTTCCAGAGTCCTGGAGGAACAGTTAAAGTGGAGCCAATCTGCAGGGTCGACTTGCAGCAAGACATCAGTGAAGACAAAAAAACTGGGCAGATTATCATCGAACCAAATAATTACCCATGGTCCAAGGAACATTTGGATCCACGTTTTAACTACGATTTCTCCAAGTTGAAAGACACGGAGAAATATTACAGAGGTGGTGAGCTGTATGAACGCCCATGTGGTTGGCAGCGTTTTGCCCTCAAGGTGAATATGCTTTCAGTTTTGTTTGACTTTAAATCTCCATCAAGCTGCTGTATTCTACAATTCAGAGTGCAAACTATGACATAATCTGGCCTCAGAGACCAACTGATCTGATTATATATTTAAAGGCATAATCATAAATTTCACACTACTGGACCAATCAGCCAAATATTTTAGGTGCACATTTATGACTGTATACTCAAGGCCCTCTCGTGGTTGGTGATTCACAATTGTTGAAAAAACCTGTTTTATTAACCTGTTTTATTCCATACTTTACTGCTGACTCCTCACTCCTCTGCTGCACGTTGTCCATAAATCATTTTGGCTAAAAACAACTGGTTCATTTTGAACCAAAGCATCTGCAGGTAAATTGACCCTTCACTAAGCCCCGCCCCTTTGTGAAGCATCATCTAGCTGTCAGAGCTAGCATGCAGCTCACACCATGTAGTGGCTGAACAGTGGTTTTGCAATTTCCTACACTTTTCAGGGGGAGGAAGGTCTGTCTCCTTCCAACCTCTCCAGGTAACGAGTATCATTAATGCACATCGTGCCCCAGACACATCGTTTAGCTTGAACTTCACAAAACCAGCCAGAAAATGAAGAAAATCTGTATAACAATCGATTTATGCTACTTTTATCACATGTAGTACTCTACACGACCAAAAACGTATGTAATTTGATGGGTAAAATCAGTGGAGTTCTCTTTTCACAGCCTTTTTGATGCCTGCTGGCGGTTTAACTTCTCGCCTTCTTGCAGTGATGTGCAGGTGCACTCCAATACACCATGACATCACTGTTGGTGGTGGTTAAAATGACAGTGGTGGTTACACATCTGAATGTTTGTGACTACTTGTTTTGTCTCAGGTCCTGGATAAGTACGAGGACAATACCTGGCTGGGAAACAGGTGGCGCACCACACAGTCAGTGGCAGGGGAGTGGCCGGTGTCCTACCACNATTTATGATTATGCCTTTAAATATATAATCAGATCAGTTGGTCTCTGAGGCCAGATTATGTCATAGTTTGCACTCTGAATTGTAGAATACAGCAGCTTGATGGAGATTTAAAGCCAAACAAAACTGAAAGCATATTCACCTTGAGGGCAAAACGCTGCCAACCACATGGGCGTTCATACAGCTCGCCACCTCTGTAATATTTCTCTGTGTCTTTCAACTTGGAGAAATCGTAGTTAAACCGTGGATCCAAATGTTCCTTGGACCATGGGTAATTATTTGGTTCGAGGATAATCTGCCCAGCTTTTTTTGTCTTCACTGATGTCTTGCTGCAAGTCGACCCTGCAGATTGGCTCCACTTTAACTGTTCCTCCAGGACTCTGGAACCTGTAAAAGCTGAAGCAGAAGAAGAGTCACAATTTCAAAGCACGTCAGTGTTCTCTTTGTGACAATCCATCAGGGATAAGGAAAACTATTCAGCAACAGCTCAGGAGAAAAACAAGACTCCACAGCTACGATGGTGTCTCTGTGAGGCTGACAATCTTGTACATATTTTGCACAGAGGCAATCTTTGCCAATAGTCCTCGGAAGAGGTCCGTCTATAATTTTGCGCCCTACTTGAGCCATGCCCACCTCTATTTATTTTCACCCCTCTCTCCAGTTCTGCTGTATTAACACCTGGTTTAATATATTTTGCTTCCATCTCTCTGCCCTGCTCTACTCTACTTCAACGCTACTTAGCTCTCTCTCTACTCTACCAGTAGACTACCACATCCACCTGTTGCACAAAATGCACACGGTAGCGTGAAATTTTTTTGTATGCTTGTAAAGCACAGCCTGCTGGGATGTTTCTATGTATCTGCACCAGAAGGGCTCTTTAGTACATACTAAGTACATGTGTGCACAGTAATGAGCAGGTGAAATGTCTGTCTAGCTTACATATGAGGTGTCTCAAGATTTAGGAACATACAATTGTATTGAACATAATAAAAGTATAAAGTCACTTGACATGCTGCTGTTTTGTGCTATGACCTATTTAAGTGCTGGAAGTTGTTATTTACGTGACAACGCCTGAACGCAACACTGGCTCCGCTCCAACAGTGCCGTGTTTGTCTGTGCCTAACAGCAGTCTGTTGATGGTTATTTACACACTGTCCATAACAATAACTTTGTCAGGTAACAAAGAGAACAATGGTCAGAGTGTAAACAGACCTGTGATTTCCTGTAAGAGATTCACTTTCCCTGCAGAGATTAATATCAAAAGTGAAACAATCTACTTTCATTTTGAAAGGTTTAAATAATTGACACTATTAATGGCTGTGTAACCTGATCGTAGCAGTGAGCTGTTCTCTGTACCAACAGATAAAAATACTTCAGGCTGGGACGCAGTCAGATCAGAGGCTCTCATCAGAGCGCCTACATGAGCTTTTTGCTGTTTGCTTTTTTTCTTTTCTTTTTTTTTTTAGTATATTTTATTTTTTGAGGGACAATGCATTGTGGCCAACATCACTAACTGTGCCAGTGTCAGCCAAAATGCTCATTTTCAACTGTTGTCCACTGGCCAGATGTTAAAGGGATAGTGCACCCAAAAATGAAAATTCAGCCATTATCTACTCACCCATATGTCGAGGGAGGCTCAGGTGAAGTTTTAGAGTCCTCACAACACTTGCAGAGATCCAAGGGGAGAGGAGGTAGCAACACAACTCCACCTATTGGAGGCTGACGGCGCCCCAGATTCAAACGTCCAAAAACACATAACTGAAACCACAAAATATCTCCATACTGCTCGTCCGTAGTGATCCAAGTGTCCTGAAGCCCCGACATAAAAAGTTGTTTGATCACAGGCAGGAACTGTAAAAACAAAAGATTTTCAAATTTCCACCAGTCCTTGGACACATCGTGCGTGACAAACACTTGCCTACGAACGAAAAAGTCTAAAAAAAATCTGAGTTTAAAATTGTGATATTCCACCAAAATCACTTTATTCTACATCTCTTTTAAAATTAGCTAAAAAATAAACTGTTTGCGCAACAAGAGTGAAAAACTGAGGCTTTTTTTTGTCAAATCCAGTATTTATATAATCTGATATATAGTAGTATAGTATAATCTAATATATGGTGGGCACCAGTGGTGGACCTGCCAGTCCTGGTGTTCTCTGGTGAATGATGGAGCTGCATGGTGCTGGGCTGTGAGCACAGGTCCCACTAGAGGACGTGGGGCCCTCATGCCACCCTCATGGAGTCTGTTTCTGACAGTGTGGTCAGAAACATGCACACCAGTAGCCTGCTGGAGGTCATGTTGTAGGGCTCTGGCAGTGCTCCTCCTGTTCCTCCTCACACAAAGGGGCAGATACCGGTCCTGCTGCTGGGTTGATGCCCTTCTACGGCCCTGTCCAGCTCTCCTGGTGTGACAGCCGGTCTCCTGTGCCATCCTGGAGGAGCTGGACTACCTGTGCAACCTGATTGGGCTGCAGGTACGACCTCATGCTACCAGTAGTGCCAAGGACACTAGCAGAAGACCATACTAGAGAAGAATCAGTCAGGAAGGATAAGGAGAGAGCAACTGTCTGTGGACACCACATGTAAAACCATTCCCTTTTTGGGGGTTGTCTTGCTTTTGCCTTTCCATTGCACCTGTTGTCACTTTGATTTGCACCAAAGCAGCTGAAACTGATTCACAATCACTTGTGCTTCCTAAACAGACAGATTGATATCACTGAAGTTTAACTGACTTCCTGTTAGACTGTGACCATTAAGTGTTCCCTTCATTTTTTAGTGGTGAACAAACCCTCACTGCTGGAAGCACCACTAACAACACTGTGGTCACCTCTTTCAGTGGAGGCAGAATACTCCGACTGATATCACAAGACCTGGACAAATAAACCCACACCTTCCTGCCTGGACTGACACCACAAACAGTAACTGAGAGTTTATTTATGTTTTCATTTTGTGATCTTGTTTACCAGTACATGTGACCTTTGTTTGCATTTCTTAATAATGCAGTGTTTACCTCTCACAAAATCAGCCACTGAGAGAAAGTCAGGATGTCTTGAAGCCACCAGGGCTGCAGCAGGGCTACNTGCATATCTTAATAATGCAGTGTTTACCTCTCACAAAATCAGCCACTGAGAGAAAGTCAGGATGTCTTGAAGCCACCAGGGCTGCAGCAGGGCTACGCGTCTTAGTCACTGTCTTAACTGTAATGTAAACTGCTGTGTAATAGTTTCACTTTCTCCATCACTTTCTGTTTTTCTGATGGGAGGATCTAAAACTGAGGCACTATAAATATGAGCCCAGTTCCACCCTTACATTCATCTGAAGAAACAAGCCAAGAAGCCAGACATCAACATCGAGATGATCGATATAGAAGTTGTGCTTGAAGCTTTGAACGCGCTCTGCAATGACGGAGTAGCTAGTGTTCATAGACAGAGAGCAGAGGATGGGTCACTGACAGCCGACACCTCTGGAGCAGCTGCCCAGCTGCAGGAGTCCATGCGAGAGCTGTCCATCCAGGACTTGATCCCTATCACCCTGTGTGGGCTTAGAACCAGGTAATTATTACCAAAGCCATGTTAACATAAGTATGATTTCTGTAAATGTTACAGAGGGTTTGAAACAGCAGTTGTTTTTCTATAAGGGACTGTTCTTTACTTATCAGAGGAGAAAGGTGGCTGGGGCGTGACTTTGTTCTTTCTTTTTCTGTTTTTGTTTGATCCTCTCCAGAACTACAGATATTTTTCCTTGAGTGATTTAGGGGAAAATGCATGATCCTCCCTCCACCATAAATTAGTTATTAGATTTTTTTTGTTTTTTGAAAACAGTCATACCTCAGCCACTCCCCTCCTGTGATATATAAAGAACAGTCCCTAAAGTCCTCATCAGTGAAACTAGTTTGGCACTTGAAAGCTGACAGACTGATCTCACCTGTTTACTACAAAGAGTATTGAAATCTTGACTTTAAATATTCTGACTTTATTTTAACGGTTTTTAATTTTGTTATGGAGACACTCCTTTATTGTCAAAATACTCAGACTTTTTCTCAAAATATTTTCATTTTGTTCACAAAATGTCTGTAAGAGTGCCCATAATGCTTATCATGCTAAACTAAGACAGTAAACATGGTAAACAGAAACATGTTAGCATTGTCAGCCTCACAGAGACACCATCGTAGCTGTGGAGTCTTGTTTTTCTCCTGAGCTGTTGCTGAATAGTTTTCCTTATCCCTGATGGATTGTCACAAAGAGAACACTGACGTGCTTTGAAATTGTGACTCTTCTTCTGCTTCAACTTTTACAGGTTCCAGAGTCCTGGAGGAACAGTTAAAGTGGAGCCAATCTGCAGGGTCGACTTGCAGCAAGACATCAGTGAAGACAAAAAAACTGGGCAGATTATCATCGAACCAAATAATTACCCATGGTCCAAGGAACATTTGGATCCACGTTTTAACTACGATTTCTCCAAGTTGAAAGACACGGAGAAATATTACAGAGGTGGTGAGCTGTATGAACGCCCATGTGGTTGGCAGCGTTTTGCCCTCAAGGTGAATATGCTTTCAGTTTTGTTTGACTTTAAATCTCCATCAAGCTGCTGTATTCTACAATTCAGAGTGCAAACTATGACATAATCTGGCCTCAGAGACCAACTGATCTGATTATATATTTAAAGGCATAATCATAAATTTCACACTACTGGACCAATCAGCCAAATATTTTAGGTGCACATTTATGACTGTATACTCAAGGCCCTCTCGTGGTTGGTGATTCACAATTGTTGAAAAAACCTGTTTTATTAACCTGTTTTATTCCATACTTTACTGCTGACTCCTCACTCCTCTGCTGCACGTTGTCCATAAATCATTTTGGCTAAAAACAACTGGTTCATTTTGAACCAAAGCATCTGCAGGTAAATTGACCCTTCACTAAGCCCCGCCCCTTTGTGAAGCATCATCTAGCTGTCAGAGCTAGCATGCAGCTCACACCATGTAGTGGCTGAACAGTGGTTTTGCAATTTCCTACACTTTTCAGGGGGAGGAAGGTCTGTCTCCGTCCAACCTCTCCAGGTAACGAGTATCATTAATGCACATCGTGCCCCAGACACATCGTTTAGCTTGAACTTCACAAAACCAGCCAGAAAATGAAGAAAATCTGTATAATAATCGATTTATGCTACTTTTATCACATGTAGTACTCTACACGACCAAAAACGTATGTAATTTGATGGGTAAAATCAGTGGAGTTCTCTTTTCACAGCCTTTTTGATGCCTGCTGGCGGTTTAACTTCTCGCCTTCTTGCAGTGATGTGCAGGTGCACTCCAATACACCATGACATCACTGTTGGTGGTGGTTAAAATGACAGTGGTGGTTACACATCTGAATGTTTGTGACTACTTGTTTTGTCTCAGGTCTTGGATAAGTACGAGGACAATACCTGGCTGGGAAACAGGTGGCGCACCACACAGTCAGTGGCAGGGGAGTGGCCGGTGTCCTACCACGGGACGAAACAGGAACATGTTAAAGCCATCATCGAAGAACACTTTACGGTATTTATATTCACTCTCATGACTGCTGGAATAAATGTGAAGAAGCCTCTTGGATGAGAGTTGAAACATCTCTAAAGAACTCAAGCAAGTCAAGTTGCCTACAATATGGCATCGACAGAGTCGAGCCGTTTCAGTGATGGTGTGAGATTGTTGGGACGGTTAAACGGCTCTGTGCCGGATGTTAGCCATCGCTGCTGTGTTAGCTCGTGCTAACCGGGCAGAGAGAGCAGAAGTAGAGAGGCTGATGGAGACAGTCCTTCAGCTCTGAACAGCAGCAACAGCTGATTGTCTGCTATGGAACACAGAAGGGCTCGTAGCATCTATTTTGATATATGTATTAATAATTCAAATTTATTCGTCTTAACAGGTAAAAATATAACATCTTAACGTGCATTTGACGCATTTAGACAACAGAAAATGCCCCATTAACCAGTACATCTAGACGTCTTAGGACATTTAGAGCATTAAAGCTTCCATGCTATCGGCTAGCGTTAACATATCCACCCCTTTCTGACGTAGCAACTGTGTTGGCCAATGTTGGGCTCTTGTTAGTGGGTACGTTTGGCTACGTACCTATCACCTGTCTTCTACGCAACTTCAATTTGGTATTTAGGACAGTCCATTTTATATGGGGGGCATCAATTCTGTCATGAACTCCTGGAGACTGAAGAGAGCAAATGGCCTCTGGAAGCTTCTTAAGCCACTGTGGCTATAACCCACTATAGCCTATGTGTGTTTTCATCCAGTATGAATTATATTAAAATTCTTCTAAACACAAATGTGGTGTTTTACTCAGGGAAATCAAACTTTGTATCAACCTTATGCCTGGCACCCATGATACCTGATCCGGAACTGGCATTTTCCAATGGTAACGGTATCAGACTGTACGCTAACGGTATGCTAATCTTTCTTTCTAGAGTGATTTGGAAATAAAACGTGGAACACACCACCTGTCACCCGGGACGCAGGTGTCCACTTCCTGTGTGAATGTAAAGCCAACCCGTTTTTTTTTTCCTAAATTCAACCATGTATGTTTGTTGTTGAAGTAAACAAAGGTAAATTCATGGTGTTGTACTGACGCAGTGCTTTTATTTTGAAAGAGACTGTAGGCAAACTGTACATTTCCTGTGAAAACAGAAGTGTATTTTGAAAGCAGACAATGCATGTAACAGGCTGAAGTTGACACGGCGTCCCAGAACGTCAACAACCAACACACCCAGGGTACCTTGGACGTCATATGTGGATGTTGACAGTCCATGACCAAACGTGGACATGTGACGAGGTCGCAGTGGGGATGTGTTGGAGATGTGTATCATTAAAATGGTATCAATCATTCATTTTTTAAATATTATAGTTATCATCAATACCCGTATACTGTGACATCCCTAATACATTTATATAAACCATTTATTTGTTATGCACACCATCACAAGGGACGTTGTGAGAGCTGAGACTAGTGAGGATTAAGGAATTATTATGTGGTTGAAATCGACTCTACTGCCACAGAAATGCACAAGTGTGTGTTAGGATGGTCTCATTTTAGTGTGTGAGGAAATACTGATCTGATTAGTTGGTTGAAAGTCTTTAAATTCTAATTCATTCTTGTATTTAACAGGCAGGCAAGCGTAAAAAGTATGGCAAAGGGATTTATTCGACTCCAGACATCGACATAGCGAAGAGATTCGCCACCAAATTCACCTCCAACAAGACGGCCAAGAAATACAAAGTGATTCTGCAGAATCGTATCAACCCAGAGTACAGGGAGATATACGAGGAAGACAACTACTGGCTGGTTCCCATCCCCGAAAATGCATCAGAGAAAGAACAACGGGAGATCGTTGAAAAGGCCATCCGTCCTTATGGTTTGCTGTTAAAAGAGATATAACAATGATCCTGAGTTTCCTGAGCTTTATTTTGAAAAGCCAGAGTATGTGTTGTCTGTGAAGCATATGTCTGTCTGTGCAAAATACTCTCTGACGTAGTCGAATGTAATCAAGTCTCACTTGCTTGTAAGCCTATAGATGAATACATACAATCAATAACACCCCTGCATGTGGTATGTATACTGAATCGAGGGAGGAAATCACTCTGAACTTCCTGTGTTCCATTATCAATAAATCAGACATTCAATAAACTGTTGTTTTGAAACAACTGACTTGTTTTTAGAATTCTGTTACAAACATCGAAGTTTACTGTGGTAGCATTTTTATATTTTCTAAGTTTGATGGTGTAAAGTTTGCACTCATGGCAAAGGAAGTTTAATTAATAGCTTTTATTTTTCAGTTTGTACGTGGGAGTAACATTTCACTTTGAGAAATACTCAAACCTCAATGACCTCAAAGTCTTCAGGGGCAGTTTGGTCGTTACTTTCATTTAGAATCATATTTGTAGATCTTTTAACGTGTAATGAGTGACGACTGTTTTTGGGTGGTGGGAGAAGGGCGACCTGTGTTCAGGGTCTTTGCATTCAGCTCATTCTTGACTGTTGTTGTGAGTCCATCTGCAGATGCTGAACTAAACAAGTTTCTGACTCGATGAGTTTTTTAATAGGAATTTCCACCACAGTACATCAAAGAGTATTTCGCATGGACGACTGAACACAGTTCATCCTGACAGGGACATGAACGTCTGCACCAAATTTCATGACAGTGATTCCTGTGTGGTTGTTGAAGTATTTAACTCACAACCACAAATGTCAAACACAGTAAAAGAAATGTCAAGAGATCAACAGAGTCCATAGAATTCCTCCTCTGGGGAACATGCACTGTCCCCTAATTACATATAGTTACCTCACACTAATTATACAACATGTACTACACACTGTATAATTAGTGTGTTACATACTGTGTTCAGTCAGCAGGCAGCACGTACCGTATATAACTAGTCAGTTATACATACTGTACATAGTTAGTTGGTGTCACACAACAGTTAGCTCCAACCAAGCAATTTGATTGGTCAGGTCATCCACGAGTGCTGATATACAGTATAACAGCACTGGGACTTTTAACTCTACAGGTATCACTCTGCTTCACAGGTGTTGATTATGTTAACCGTTAATTAGCCAACATTAAGGGTCGTCGAAACAAAGTTTGCACCGCAAGGAAAATATTTCCACAAATGACAGGGTTAAATAATGAATGGTCAGAGAAGGAAAAGGGAGGAAAAGAGGCCCGAATACTTCACTGCAAACCTCCAGGTATATGTTCATGACATGAGAAGACGACGCAGACTGATTTGTTTGTTCGCTTAACAAATGGACACACAGATGTAGCCTACATGATACAAATCAGCTGGTCTGCGTGAAGTGTCGACCTACACAATGTAGCAAGCTTGTGTGCAGGACTGTTTATGTGTTGCTTAGCAACAGTAGTCCCAGTCTGGTTGCTGAAGTATTTGTGTTGGAGCCAAATAAATCATTAAATAAATACACACATCACAACCTGTTGCCAGTCTTTACTGTTGATAAATGGAACTGTTGCATAAAAACAATGTCACGCTCTAGGTTGTGCTGATGTGCTGAGTATCAGCTGCAGCTTTGAGCCTGCGACTGAATCACAGCTGTGCAGCATGACCTTGAGTGTGACATTGCTTAGGTCAGGGCTCAGCAACCTTTACTATAGAAAGAGCTATTTTTGGCCAAATCTGCCTGGAGCTGCAAAACATATTTGAGCCTCATATTGAAGGTAACGTTACATTAGCCTATCAACATTACAAACAGGTCTAAATGATTCATCAATATGTTTTATCTCAAGGTGGCGACTCACAGTGAGCTATTTAGGATTATTTGGTGCTTTAAAGTTGCATTGTTGGCGGTGGAAGCAGACAAGTCTGTCCATGTGCTATTTTCCTCTGAGACTTCAGTTTTTGGATTTGAAATCTAGAGCTAGCCTAACTAACGAGGACAGTCAAGACCAGCCGCTGCTGCTAAGGCTAGACAAAATTTAGAGAAAAAAGCACAAGGCTGCTAGGGTTGGGTACCATTCATAATTGAACCGATATGGTACCGGTACCGGTATCTGGAATTCGGTACCGGTACCAAATGGTACCTTATTTCGGTACTTTTTAAAGTCTAAACTTCTCAGTTTCAACATTTTATTGAGAACATTTAGGAACAGTGCTGCACGTTAACTTTTGTCTGCACATTTTTTTTGTCGCCATTGTTGCTGAGTCTGAGGTGCAAGTCATCTGCCTCCACCTCAGGTACCGAAATTTGGCACCGATTCATTTTAAGTGAATCAGTACTCGGTAGTACCGACGTGAAACGGTACCAAGTACAAAAAGTACAACAAGTACAGAGTTTCGGTACCCAACCCTACAGGCTGCAGACGTATATGATCCACATTAGTTGACAAAATATTAAAACTTTTTGGCAGTGTTTACACGAAACATTTTTACAATTGACAGATAAAGGCGCTGTATGTAAGAATGTGGCCAAAACAGTTACTGCACTCAAATTCAAAATACTGCCGCGAGTCGTGTCCGCCCCCTCCCTCCCCTACAGATTCGAGGTTGCTGGACAGCGGCACGCTGGAGACTGATTTGTTTGCCCACAGGCAGCTGCCGTGGCAGGGCCGCGTCACCGTATCCTTGATCTTCCATTTTCCAGCAGACCGTTCGAGCAAGTCCGGCTTCTCTGCTGCTAACGCTGCTGCTGGGATACAGCTGAGGAGGAGCCGGCTGCTAATGCTATGTACCGGGACACTGCTAATGCCGCTTGCCGTGCTGCTGTAGCTCAGTCGTAACTGTAACTGATGCTGAGACTCTACTGACTGTGTGACTGGTAGACGGCGGTGGGTGGCGCAACAGGCCAAAACACAAATTCAAAACATAAACATGATTTGCGGACCGTAAAATATTTTTTAAATGCGAATATGTTAAAAAATAATTAAATTTTTCCTTATAATTTTTTGTCAAAGCAACAGTGAGCTGCTGTGAGGGGCTGAAGAGCAGCAGGTTGCCCACCCTGCCTTGAGTACACACTGTATATGTTTTGTGGGTAGTACATGCTGTGTAAGAGTCACCAACAGTGCACTTAGTTATGATAGAAAATGTCATATCAACATGAAAAATCATAAAAACAAGAATATTTTCTCATTATAAAGATTAAGTGAGCAGATTGTTTGTTCTTGGTGGCAGCAGCACGCTGCTGGACCTTAAGATGGATTTAAGACCAAAGCTTTACACATATCGGCCCCGGGGCCCTCATTTCCCTGCAGCTTCGTCATGTTGAGACGATGTCAGTCTGCTGATCGACTTTAAAAAACTGCTCTGTGCTGAAGAGTCTCCACATCTGCACTCAACACACCGTTTCATGTGTGTTCATGTTCTCTACAGTTTTAACCTGATTTATGATTCAATGTTTTTTTCTTTCTAGTTTGTTTTTGAGTGAACGCAGAAATACTTCTGAACAACCAGATTTCTCTGGTGTGTGACTGCAGTCAGCAGCTCGCGGACACACAGGAGCTCAGACGTTATCAGTAGTGACATTAACAACATTTATTCAGACATCAATAAGAGCAGCGAGACGGAGACAAATAAAAGTACAATCAGGTGCAGAAAACCTTTGAATATTTTCATCATCTAAAACATAACACTCTGCTTCAGTTCTCTGATTAAAACTCTGTCGTTAACTGGATTATATTTATCAGTCTCTGGGGACAGAAACCTGCTGAGTCCAGTTCACTGCAGAGACCCTCAGATCCATCTGGATCAGAAGGACAGGTTGATGAGTGGAGCGTTGTTCTCTCTCTTGTCTTCTGGACTCCACTTGATGAGCGGAGAGCTCAGGTCGATCAGCTGCTGGAACAAAACACACAGATTGGAAACAAAAAAAATAGTTAAATTAACTCTTAAAATTACATTTACTCCTTCTACCTAATTACACAAGTTGTTTAAGGGGGTGTTTACCCCTTAAAACCCTCTTAAACTTTACAGGTAATCTATTTAAAATACTTCGTTATAATCGTTTTATTTATCCAGTATTGATCCCTTTAAAACAAACAACCTAAATCATTGTTAATAATAAATTTAAGTGATTTTTAAAGTATAAATTGAAGGGATTCTGTTACAGGCTGGAGGAACACTGCTGTTTAAAAACAGCTGTTACTGTATAAAAACAGACTCAGACTGAAAGTACATTATTTGTAACTTCATGCTGTTACATTTTATTGTTTCCTTGGATGTAACCAGGTGAGATGTCAGTTACCTGCGTTGTGGTGCAGGTCTTGCTGCTGGTCCTGATCAGGTCGGGGGTGTTGGTCAAGTCGATGAGCAGTTTCTCTTGAGGCTGCAGAGTCGGAGCTGGAAGATCCAACAGGAGAACCTGAAGAGGAGAGAACAGAGAGAGGGTCTGAGTGATGAAGATCTCTGAGGTTCTGAGATGACACAAGCGATGCCCAGCGGGGAAATTCGGTCGTTGCAGCAGCACGAGGACAGATACACACCCATCAGCCAAGACTTTAAAACCACTGACAGATGAGGAGAATGACACTGATTGACTTGTTACCATCTAATGTTCTGCTGGGAAACCTTTGGGTGCTGGCATTCATATGGATGCCTCTTGACTTGCTCCGCCCACCCAAACACCATGACAGAGCAGGTACTGCCCCGTCATGGCAACAGCACTTTCAAGGTGTCGACCTGGCCTCCAAATTCGTCACATCACAATCCGATCAAGCATCTGTGGGACATGCTGGTACCCAACCTCACAACCCACAGGACTCAAAAGATTCACTCCCAACGCCCTGGAGCCAGACACAGCAGGACACCCCCGGAGGTCCTGTGTGCGTGCCTCGCCAGGTCAGAGCCAAGTCTGATCCAAGTCTGATCCAAGCAGGTCCCACTGTGGATCAGAGGTAAATCTGGGGTACCAGCATGTCCCACGAATGCTCGATCAGATTGGGATCTGGGGACTTTGGAGATCAGATGCCTTGAGTTTTTCGTCACGTTCCTGTCAGTGTCCTGTTTTTGTACCACGACATCAGTTAAAAATTTGTTTTTCGCTACATGAGAGAATGTTTGGTGTGAGGACGCTTCAATGGTGCCAGTGTGTGAAGCCCAGCCCAGACCACAGATCTGTGACAAGACGAGTTGAAACAGGAAACCACTTACATTGTGCC